GTGCAAAACACACGGGGTAGACTTGCCACGAAGGCATGCGGAGATACGCGCGAAGGCTGCACGCATGGCGTGCGTCCGAGACGCACGCGGGGCCGCCGGACTTGTGATGGAGTGGGACTGCGGCACACCGATAAGCACGCAGCGCTCGTATCCGCAGCATGCGTCCGGGACGCACGAAGCCTTGCGGAACCTATTCAAGTCCTATATATACTCCATGCCAGTCGCTTATCCCTTTCTCTTTTCACTCTTCCCCTCCCCCTGCCCCTCATGCCGACACCTAAAGTCCCCTCTGCGTTTCTTGACCTCGTCGGCGCCAACCGCGACCTGTGGACATGGGAGCCTTGGATCGACTTCACAGGGCTGAGCGACGCCCCCTGGAGCGGCAAACCCGGCTCAAAGCCCAAGGGCTGGACGGACGACGACGTCGTGAGCGTTCGCGCAATGGTGAACGCGTATTGGACGGTCGCGCCGAAGGACCGAATGGTGTTCTTCAAGGACCGGCAAAGTGGCGCAAAAGGCAAGTCCAAAGCGTCATCCCCCCTCTCAGCGGCCGACCTGGGCGTCCTTCACACGGACGCCCGCAACAAATGGTCGGCGTGGTTCAACGAGCTCGGCCGCGAGCACTTGGCCAAGTTGGTCGACGACATGCTGATGGAAGAGGGACACCATCCCACGCAGCTTATGAAAGCGAATGCGACACAAAAAGTAAGTCGCAACCACAACATTAATAATGGTCTTTTGACTGACGCTCACGTTCTCAGATGCCTACTATGGCAGCCGCGATGGTGACGTCGATATACGTTGACCTCGCGGAGCAGTTATTCGGGCGGGACGCGCTGCTGACTGACACGGTGGTCAAATCAGAGGTGATCACGTTCTTCAATGCTCTTCTGTACGCGACGTGGCGGCGATGGATGATGGTGGTTTCCAGACAGAAGGCACAATTGGCAAGCAAGCTGGACGCTGTGCATACCAGATGGTTCGGTGAGTGTTAGATTACTGTGTCTATGTGTATACTTGACATCCTGAACAGAATTATCGGCCAACGAGGAGAATGTCACCGTGTTTCATCTCACTCAATTCTTCCAGACGGTAACCCGCGTCTTAGAGCTGACTGAGGCGCTCAGCGACAAGACAGCGGAAGCTGAAATGAACGTCCTCAAGTCGGATCTGCAGAGTATGCTGAATCTCATATCTAGCGGGCCGGACAGTTCAGGCGAGACGAAACGTAAGTTCTGCTGTTGTTCGCTTGCTGTCACGACTTGACACGGCGCCTAGCCGTTTTTTAATTTTTCCTTTTCGCGGGCTCGAACCCGCGACCTCTGTACTACCTGCCCGATACGGACACATCGTTATCTACTGTACGATCAGATTAGATAGGACGGCAGTGCACGGCACAGCTCGGGCCCCGCTGACACAGCCGCTCTGACTCACCGGCCCCCGGGGCCGCGTCGGCATGCTGCGCACAGACCAGCTGCGCACGGACCAGCGCGCACAGCCTGCCCTTAACCTCCCCTGTATATAAGCCGGCCTCTGCTGCCCTAGGGACCTCAGTTTCGACCTCTTGTCCCTAGGTCAGTAAGCCCTCCTTTGTATCACTTTCTTACTTATACTAACCAATACATTTACTTGTCCCTAGCCTTAGGTTTGAGCCTAGCTCACCATCGCTTCGGTAAAGATAAGTCGAACGCCCCCAGCATTTTGGTTTTCCCCTGTCGCTCGACCCTAAGTCGCGACACTTGCGACATGCGCTGACGTATTGCACCAGCACTACCGAAGAGTATCCGCACCGCTCTGTTGAAGCTGGCGTCGCAACCGCAGGTCGAAAGCGTCCGCGCGCAAATCATGGCCATTATCAACGAGGAGCAGCCTGAAGTCGTCGCCCTCGATTTCGAATCGTTGCCGGAAGGTACATGGAAAGAGGGCACGGAAGAGTACGCTACCCTCACCCTAGACAAGGCTTGGGAACACCTTGGCCTCGGGAGCATCAAGAGGATCCCGGGATTTGCGGAAAAGCTGGATCTGAACGACACATACGACCCATGGTCAATTGAAGGACTGGAGGTCTTGAGGAGTGAAGAGGCTGTTCCACTTGAGCTCAAGTGGCATCAGGTCATCGGCGTCATCAAGCTCGTGGACAATCTGCTGGCAGGGAAGCCGGTCCTTCTCATGGACGAAGTCGGGATCGGGAAGACCATGCAAGCC